AGTCCTTGCTATAAACCAAAACTGGCAGGAATCAACAGGCCAGACTCCATTAAAATGCCTAAGATACTAAGATGATAGTAAATCTGTTCATGATTTATTCATCTGCCTTAAAAAAAAAAAAGGATTATGTTTGGGAAATAGACTGAGAGGTCAAGGCAGTGTAGCAGTTCCTAAAATATCCTTTTGCAGTAACTTAGAATAAGATTCCCTTTCAAATCACATTAGTGATTTGAATAATGGCCTAAATTGTAGGATTCCCCCTCCTTCTTCCCTCTCCCCCTGCCTTTTTAAAAAAATGATTAAAACACCACTGTTCTTGAAGGTCATAGAGCTTTATTGGTTTTGTAGAAGAGATCCCTAAAGTAGGAGAAAGAAAATTCAAGGAGAATTCTCCAAAAAAGTCTAGTACTATGCTTGATAGGAGGCTGAAAAGACCCTCCAGCTGCCAGAACAGAACACTGCCCTCCTGACTACCTCTTGTCAACTCTCCGGCCTTGCCAGCACCTAAGTGCTTAGAAATGAGATTAGTAATACCATTCAAATCCTTGCAGAGCACCTACATTAGCTTGATATTTTGGTCAGAGATGGGTACTGCTAAGTACTTAATAGGCTCAGAGTCTTAAGGGAAGTCAGGTTATATTTTTATCCCTTTCAACATGATACATAAGGAAAGACAAACCTCACTTCCCAGTTCCTTGAATCTAGACCAAACCTAGAAACCCTCTGGTCACAGCTGACATGTACAGTGACATCTTGCTTTCCCATTCCTAAAACTATCGAGGTTTTAAAGACAATTTAAGAAATCCAGATCCAATTACCCTAATAATCCACAATCCGGTTTACTGTTAACTTCTTCAGCTCATGGATGTCTCTCAGCTCATCTTTGCCGCTCACCAGAATATTAGACTATTTACATAAGGCATTTGGAGGGAAAAAAGAAAGTAGAACACATTCTTTATTTTACTAGACCTTTTTCAGGGCCACTGATAGGAAATGCTGTATATTCCAAACACTGTCCAAGGTTTTAAAAACAAGACAAATTAAGCCAACATATCTGTGCTGCTTCACTGTTCCTATGAAAAGCTGTTATTTATTTTTAAAAAAATTTCAATTAAATTTTCTCACATTTTCACAGTGTCCTTTTGTAGGCAAGTGACCAATCTCATCTGGATGTTATTGAGATTTATACCTACTTGGTCCTGACATGACATTGTACATAATTTATTTTTTCTTTGCTTTAATGATGGTTTTGGAAATGACACTGCAGTGGGTCTATTACTCATCTTGAGTTTTAGACTTTATTTTTAGACTAATTCAATTGCTTAGATCATACAAAATGGGTTTTGGACCCACTATCCAATTCACAGAAATGATAAAAATCAAGGAGCAGCCTGGCTGAAGGAAGTTAAGCAATTAATTATCTAGGAGATCAGGTTGAGTGAGTGCTATTTCAAAAATTAACTGAAGCAAACCAACACTCCTACCAACAAATTCAAGGGATTAAAAAGAATGGAGAAGCTTCACAGTCTGCCCTGGAGAGGTATGACCCAAGCATGGTAGCAGCAGAATCTACCAGGATAAAAATAGTGAAGGCCTCGCTACCAGAAGATGTGTTCTAGTGGTTTGTTGCTGATGTTCAGCCATTCAGTCATGACCCCAGTCATTCTTTATGACCCCTGTGGACCACAGCATGCCACGGTGTTTTCTTGGCATAGGTACTAGAGTGGTTTACCATTTCCTTCTCCAGTGGATTGAGGCAAACAGAGGTTAAGGGACTTACCCAGAGTTGCATAGCTAGTAAGTGTTTGAGGCTAGTTTTGCACTCAAGTCTTTCTGACTCTAGGCCCATTGCTCTATCCACTGAGCCACCAAGCTGCATCCTTCTAGTGGTTTATCACCAGTCAAAACTCAGTTAAGCAGAAACTCAGAGCAGGTGCCTGTTTTGGCTGGCATGGGAATATGGGTTAGGAAACATAAAACCAAAAAAAAGAGGAGGAAGTAAATATTTTCCTTTCCCTCCCTTTAAATTCCATCTTCTAATCCCTGGTCTCTAGTACAGAGTAAATTTTTTTTTTTATGGGTTAAGCCCTTATTATAGCACACATGATCATCTCGGATGGCTACTCAATGTGACACTTGAAAATGTTTATAGATACTCAGTTGTGTCAGGCTGTAGACCATATCTTGATTTTTTAAGTAAGTTGGTAATTTCTTCTTATTACAAAATAACTGAGAACAAGATTACAGTGAAGGTGTGATTGCAAGGATACTATCCCTTATAGCAGAAAACTTTGCCCAACGACCTGTAAATATTGGGTTTTTTTTTTAAGGGCAACTCTTAGAGGTAAACTTAACTGAAAAATATTAACTGTGTTAAAGATCATTAGCATCTAAAACCACCTTGTTCATTTTAGTTGTTTTTAAAAGCATTTGGGGCTGCTTAATCACTCTGCCTGAAGTCATTTTGATACCTTTTTGCCTTAAATCTTATCAGAATATACTCAAGATTATGGTGGGATTTTTCCCCCATACCATCCTACAAGTAAAAGTAGTGGCAGAAGAATTCTATAAAGCTAAAAGATATGACTCCAAATGTTTAATTTTTTTCCCTATTCTTTCTTCCAATGGAGGACTAATATCCGAAATACACAGTACATTTTATAAATATTTTCACAATGAGCTTGTGCCATAAGGACAATCAATCAATTAACAAGCAAATATTTATTAAGTACTCATTACACATGAGGTACTATGCTAAACACTGGGATAGAAATACAAGCAAAGATAAAGACAGTTTCTGCCCTCAAAGAGCTTGCATTCTAACAGGGGAGAACAATACAAGAAAGGAGAGTTGAAGAGTGGGGATAGGGGAGAAGGAAACACCTGCTAGGTGGCATGGTAGCTAAGTCCAGAGAATCAGGGATGGCTGGTCTGAGACTGCAAAATGCAGATTCTGGGAATAAAAATATACCACAACATGAGGACATGTTTTCAAATCTCTCTCTTACAGAAACAAACTACTAAAATATCATGCTAGTCAACTTAGGGGCATGCAAAGCAGATTCTGGGAAGAATGAGAGGAAGGGACTGAAAAAGCAGAGTCAGGAAGCAGCTGAGGCATTGTGTAAACAGGAAGGCATCCAAGGCCCAAGACCTTTCTTGAGACATATCACATTAAACCTACCACTGTAGGTGAGACAGTGTACCACAGCATGCAGAGAGATGACTTCAGAGCTGGAAAGACCCGAGTTCAAATTCTGCCTCTGGGCAAATCACTTAACCTCTCAGTACCCTAGGCAATTCTCTAAAATGGTAATTTATGGACAAGCTGTCAATCTGCATTAATAGAGTGTTTCCATACCACAAGTTCCCCATATTGATGAAACTATAAGTCCATATCAAACAGAAAAACTATTATACTTATTTTTGTAAATCTGATCTTTCCTGATAGACTATAAGATCTCTGAAGGCAAGGATGATGTCTTGTTCATCTCTGTACAACCTATTAATACAATGAACAGTGTCATGAGCATAACAGTTCCTTAGATTAAGAGCTGGAAGGGAACTCAGAAGTTATTTTAGTTTAAGACCCTCATTTTACAGATGGGAAAACTAAGACCACAGATGTTAAGTGATCTGCATAAGTTCATATGGGAAGGAAGGGAATAAACACTTATTAAGTGCCTACTATGTGCCAGGAACTGTCCCAGGTGCTGGGGATACAAATACAATGAATGAAACAATCCCTACTCCGAAAGAGCTGACATTCTAATTGAGATTATCTAGGGGCAGAAGGGATCAGAGCCTTTTAAAACTTGGTCCTATGAGGCAAAACTAGGAATAAGGCAAAGAGATGGATGCTAGCTCAGTCTGGGGATAGGGAAGTGAGGGGAAGGGGAAGGGGAAGGAGAACGTAATAATTAATGTTCTGGAAAAGTGGAATAGGCAGATTTCTGAGACAGTTAACTCTCCCTAGGGTCACAGACTTAGAACTTAAAAGGATAGCATGAGTTTGACACCCTAATTTCACAGATGAGGAAACTAATGACCAGTGAGATTAAGTGACTGGTTCAAGGTCATATAGGTATTAAGTCACATTATTGGGATTTGAACTATCTCCTGAAATGTCAAGCTGAAAGTGGATAATAGTATTTCCGTCTGCCTGTCCCTCCCCTCGACCACCCAGCCATACATATTATTTGATTTTCACAAGCCTGTGAGGGGGATACTATTAAGTATTCTTCTTTTAAGGACGAGAACACTGAGATTTGGCTGATTATTTATCAGGGGTTGTGTGGAGAGATTCCTAATCAGATGTAAGTTTGACTAGATAATCTCTGAGAAACCTTTACCTTTGAACTCTTGAGAGTCTATGATTCTGTGGTCTTAAAGGTCTTTTATTTGCAGGTTTTGATTTGTTCCAAAGGAGTTTTGGGGAGCTCAGATCAAATGGGGACACAGTCACCATTTTCATTTTGCCTCAAATGTGGTCAGGAGCTTCCTAGGTTCAAGCGGTTCTCTGCCAAGGTGGCAGTTGATAATGTAATCCCTTAGAAATTTTATCCTGGACCTAAATATCTGGCTCTGGGCCATGACTGATTTTGCAATAAGCCATGGGTAGTGCAAAACAAGCTAGAATTTTGGCCTTTGGTTTTTGCTATAGGTTAGTAAGCTCCATTACAGGGTGTGAACTCTACTTTTTTAATGGTGGCCATTAAAAGTGAAGGGAAAACTAAGCTATAGTCATGAGGATGGAGTAGGAAGGCAAGTTTAAAGATCTCTTTAAGCAGCTACTTATAATGCACTGCCCATTTGTCCTGATCCTCTCCCAAACACTGCAATTTCTCTGGCTATGAAAGTCAGAAATCAATAAAGAGATACTCTTATCTATTGGTCTATAATGTATCTCTACTGCTGCTATTGCACAGGTTAGAATGGCAAGGAGAACCAGAGCAGAAGGAGAACCAGAGTAGTCATACTTAACATGTTTTTGCCCTTACCATAAGTAAACATTCGAGGAGATGTCAACTCAATATTGGGTAGTGCACCCAGGTGGTTCAGCACAGCACATCGATATCCATTTTTCTGGGCATAGTCAACAAAGGTTCGGATGTACTGCTTCTCACTATGGTTGGCAATTCCAGGACAGATGACCATTGTGACATCGTCTACAAGTTGAAGAAAGACATTCAAAGAGACCAGATCAATGATGATATACTAAATGGAAAAGCTAAAATCCAATTTTGTCAGGAAATGGGAGGGTCTCCTTAGTTCCCAATCAAACAAAAGTTTTCATCCCCTTGCTTTAGACAGAATTTAATTCCAAATATCTTAGAAGGAGAAACTCTCCAAATGTTTTAGCCTATGAATGTATTAAAATAATATTACCTACTTTTTACTGTATAGTGCTTTATAATTTAAACTTCACATATCATATATGTACACATATATGTACTGTGCACATATATATGTGTACACACACACACACGCACGCACACACACACACACACACACACACACACACACACACACACACACACTTTTTGGTAGGGCAGGCCAGGTAAATAATATTACTTTCAATTTGCCAATGAGGAAACTGAGGTTCACATAAGTGACTTGCCCACTGTCACAAAGCTTGTTAAGTAGTAGAATTGAAACTTGAAAGTAGATCTTCTCTTTCAACTATACTGTCCTCCCTCTCCACATGAGCAAGTTGTTAACTCTTTCATTATGGAAATGCTGCCCCATTGGACTAGCAACACAGGCCTTGTTTCTTAAATCTGACAAGAATTCTTTCCAAAAGTCCATAAGAGCTGTTTCTTCTAGCAGAGCTTTTTCTGGGATCTGTATATTGACAATTCCCTTGAATCATCTTCATCCTTTCCTAGGAATTAATGGCTTGGAAATATAAGCATTTTTAAAGGAATAAGTCATAACCAAACTGTTAGTATTTCTCATTTTTCCTACCCCCTCACTGCTGGTTTTTTCTTGGCAAAGCAGGCTGGCTAAACCAAATTCTGTTCTTTAAGCAGAAAGTAAAATAAGGTAGGAAATAAAAATATACCACAACACGAGAACAAGCTTTCAAATTTCTCTCTTAGAGAAACAAACTACTAAAATATCATGCTAGTGAACTTATGGGCATGCAAAGCAAGCTTTTAAAATGTGGAATCTGAAGCAAAGCTTCCTTTTCACTAACAAGGTTGATAATTCTAGAGAATTTCAATGACCTGAAGCTTTGGTACATTTGCTGTAATTTTCAATCTTAAATATTATAAGCATCCATGACAGAGTCTAGAGTATAGGGCATACAAATGTCATTCTAAGACATGAGAGCATATATTCACGAGTATCAGTCTTTCTAAAAGAAAAAAAAACATTCACAAAGGCTGCCACAATAATTAGAGGGAACACATGAAAATCAGGTGTCTAGAGATAGGAGCTATCGACTGACAGCAGAAAGAGTATTCAAAATACATGACTTTTTTTGCAGGTTTGCCTAGGGCTGGCCCTGCCCTCATACTTCTATTCACTCATCAAGTCATACCCCCCCCTTGTTTCTCTGAACATCTATTTGGCTTACATGTAGCTCTTTTATTTGTAGGACTCAGAAAAAGGCAAATTGCTCTATATGCGTTGAAGTAGAATGGATACATATACACACATTAACATGTGGCTATCTTTATATGGGAGGAGATATTAGGAGATGCATGTATCTATGGGTATATATATCAGGTATATAAGGTTACTGGCACATATTAAGGTCAGGTAGAAATAAGGTCAAGAGTATGATATGAATGGTCCTGCTCATAAAATTATAGAGCCAGGAGGAATCTCTGAGATTATATACACAGGTGAGAAAACTCATTAAGTGACTTAAGAAAGGTCACATAATAACCAGTTTAGGCAAGGTGGGGATTAGAGCCCAGGTCCAGGCCTGTGTTCTTTCTAGGATGCCATGCTGCTTTTCGTAGTCATTGCTCCATCTCTACTAATGAATGCCAATATAAGCTCCTTAACAATTCATATAGGAAAACTTTTTGGACTTTCATAACACTATTTGAAAAGTTTTAGTACTTATATAGTGTACTTGCATATGCTTATATAGTGTATACATACACACACACATATTTACAACAAGTGATTTTTAATCATTTTTAGGATTCCTCATATAATCCTGGAGACTTGTTCCTTAGCTTCTCTACCACAATATTTTTCATAAGAGACTTTTAGTTTGTAATTATAGACTGCCTAGTAGGATATGTCAAAGTATTTTTTCTTGTTCAATAGTCCATTCTTTCCAAGTAAGGACACAACCAACCAAACCGACTTGGCTTACCTCCAATGCAATGTTCAGCCAAAGGTTCAAAGAGGTCAAAGGTGGAAGTAGCTCCATCTGACATGGTGATGAACTTTCGGTGGCCATAAGGATGAGGTGACCTCACCCTTCCCATTTTCCCATACAAAGCAGTCTGGATGTGTCCACTCTTCCCCCATATCAAGGGTGGAATATATCTAAGGAGGAAAAAATATTGAGGATTACTTTTCCCCTACATATAAGCTTTCAAAAGTCTTCAAGAACACTAACCTTGTAACCTATTTTGATAACATTGGGGAAAACTCTGTGTACTGAACACAATTATATAAGATAAAAAAAATCTTAAGACACACAGCATATTGTACTTTAGCTTCAAAGTAGCTTTAGAATCTCCACCACGATCTGCACGTATGGCAAATGTGAGTGTTTTAAATAATTCACAAGAGTACAAGTCCACAGATTTAGAATCACAAGGACCCTAAGAAGCCACGGAGTCCGATCCCTCATTTTACAAGGATTTTTTTTTAAATTATGTTTTTTACATTTTACAAGGAGACCAATTGACTTGTCCAAGATCTCACACACACACACACACACACACACACACACAGAGAAAGTAAGTGGCAGTAAACTAGGATCTGATCCCCGGGCCTCTGACTCCACATCCCAAATTCTTTCTACTGTACCACCCTGTCTCTTGGCATTTTTATCAAGAAGAAGTTAAAAAGCATAAATATTTCTATGGACACATCACTGTGCTAACCCTAAATTTTATGTCTATATTGTAAGTCCAAAGCAGACAATAACTAACAACAAGTTCCGAAGCTAGAAGCCTGCTTAGAATTTTATTGCAAAGGATAATGACTAAGCTCAGGCAAGGCACAGTGCCTTCACACGACTGTCATTACATGAAAACACTGAACTGGGCAGGTTCCTGACAGGAAATATAAAAAATATATTGTTAGATTATGTCTTGCTGATGATTGTTAATGAATGGAATAAATGAAGGTATAAATGAATAGATCGGAACTTGTAATTATTAACAACAAAAAACTGAAATAAATGACTTTGCTAGTAGTAGTTTTTCCCTGTTAGAGCAATTAGCTGGAGTTTGGTTTTCAGGGCATGCCACCCAGGTGAGGCACAGCATGAGACGTGCATTTGCAGATGTGGTCAATGTGTTGAATTGTTTTATTGATTGTATTTAGGACTGCATTAGTGAAGGAGATGCAGCAAGGAACAGAACAAAAAAGGAGTTCACGATGGGGGTACACAAAAACATGGCAATTTTGTTACTACTGTGTTAAATTTAAATACACTAAAAAAACTTTAAAAGTACATAACAGATTCAATTTCATGTACAAACCTTTTTTGTATACTGAAATGTTCAGTTTTTGTTGATGATTGTTAAGTTCATAATGAGAAAGAAAAATCTAAAAAAATTTGTTCCTTAGAGTACAGAATCATAATATTTTATAGCTGAAAGTGTCCTCAGCATGCATCTAATCCAACTTCTTCATTTTATAGATGGGAAAATTGAGGCATGGAGAAGTGACTCATTTAGACCAAATCATAAAGCTAATGAGGGGCAGAACATGGAATCCATGTTTCTTAACCCCAATTCTGTGCTCTTCCCACTATGAAAGTTCAGTTGTCTAACGTAAAGTTATTTGTATTCCATTCCATGCAGGGCGTTTATTAACAGTCAAAAATGAGATCTGTTAAGTCATGTCTGTGGTTTCCTTCAAAACCATATTCAAAATAAACCTCTCTAAGCAGCTCTTTTTAAAGTAACCTGACCCTATTTTGTTCATGCCTTTATTCTGCACCCACTAGTATCTGGAAAAGCTATAACTAGGAATTTTTATAAGTGGGACAAGTACCACAAATGAAGCTGGGGGCCAGTCTAGTGAGTGACAGATGTAAGGGACCCAGGCCAAGTGGGGAAGAGGAAGCACCATCTGATAGGCTCCTATTTTAACTAATTATTCTTGTTAACTAGATGGTAAATCTTGTGTCTATGATATTGAAAGCCTTCAAGTACTGTAAGTGCCCTTTAAATAATTCAGCAGGACAAAGCCCTGGTAGCCCTTTACTATTTATGGCTCTGATACTTGGCATGTTATTTTCTACCAAATTAATAAATATTTGTTCATGTATTGTTTTATGTGTTCTTAAAGTCATGTTTGTATGTTTGTGTGTACCTAGAAAGTAAATAGAAAACTTGGAACTTCGTAAATTATTTTTAGTAATGATAGAAGTACTAATAATATCTGACATTTATAAAGCACCTTGCGGTTTACAAACTATTTTACCTAAGTTCTTCTTTATGTGTTATGACAGTCCTCTGAGATAGGCAACCTAAATGTAATTAACTATCACAGTGGCTAGCTAGTCCAGCACAATGCAATTCAATTCAATTAATATTCATTGGGTACCATAGCAGGCTTGTGGTCAATGCTTTTTGAATTATTCATTCCCTCCCTCCTTCAGTAAACAAAATGTTCAAAAAATAAAGTTGAGCACCTACTGAACTTGTTGACTACCTGCAAAAGCAAACTGAAGACTGAACAGGATATAGAGGTTAATCAGGTCTCTGCCCACTGGACTTACAATTAACACCTGGCTTTAATTACAAAATCACAGAACTTGAAGGATTTTGGAAGATGACGTGATATATCTTATGGTTTTTGGGTTTTTTGGGGGGTGCAGACAGGAGAGTGTCTAAATCACTCTGGAAAATAGTTATCCTCTTTTAAAAGAACTTCAGGGATGGAGATTTCATAACTGCTCTAAGCAGCTCTTAAATTATTTACCACCACCACTCTGCAAACTGGCTAATTTTTCTCAATACTAAGAATCCATTTTATCATTAAAGGGAAGCAGCATGGTGCAAAGCAAATAGAAACTCCATTCAGTATTGGGAAATCTGGGTTCTGGTCCTAGTTCTGCTACTAAGTAGTAATGTTACCTCAGGCAAATTTCTGAACCTCTCTGGTCCTTGGTTTTTCCTATAAAATGATAGGGCTAGCTAGCCTAAATGACTTCTAGGGTTAGAATTCTGTAATTTTCTTCTGTTATGGGTTTCTAAGATAACATAGTAGGCAAGTTAGAAACTTAAAATCCCATATACCAGGCAGTATTGTATAGTCACTATCCCTCAAACACACCTACTTCCATGCCTTTGCTTACTCTATTCAGAATGTTCTCATTACGTATTTCCATCTGTCTCTCTCTTACCTATTTTCCAAAGCCTAACTGGAGTTCCACCTCTTCTGCGGAGCTTAATCACTCTTGTCTCTAACATGTGTGGCCCCTTAAGTGTTTGCATCACTCACATGACAGCAAAATATAGGAATGCTGAAACTTACATGATTTCAATTGATAGCACCCTAAGCTATGGTTTTCTCATGGAAACAATAATAATGATTATAATATTACCCAGCATTTACATAGCACTTAAAGATTTACAGAACACTTTTAAAAATTATTTTTTAATTCTGAGCTTAAGCATCAAAAAAAGAACATTTCCATACAAACAACAGCCTACACAAAGGGGTTACATATGAAACTGTGAATCTCCATTTCACATCACTTGTTTTTAAAAAAGTGAATAATTCATGTGCTGCTTTAAAAACTGTCTAGCATGTAGGTGCTTCCTTTCGTTTCTTCTGTGCATTTTAAAAACGTTTCAATGACCCTCCTTTTTGCCTGGCCTTACTATTTCCTTTTGGAGTTCCTTTAACGAAGTGATTGGTGGATTCACATAATGTCTCTGTACCCCTAGAGTGCCCACTGTAATGTCTTGCACTTAGTAGACACTCACCAAATAGATTCTGATTGAAAATAAAGAGTGATTGGGACTTCATAGCATCAGCATTTCAATTTTGTGTTTCTGAGGCTGATAGCCAGCACTCTCACTATCAATTTGTTGAGTTCTAAAAAGGTATGGTGAATGTTTTATAGGGGGCCAATGATGTTAGGGTAGAAGAAAATGGTAATGTTCCATAGATTTGCAAAACTATTCCATAAATTTTTTCACCAAAAGTTCTCAGTAGTAGGACTTTTTGTGGTAGCAAAAACCTGGAAACAGAATGGACACTCATGAATTGGGGAATAGCTGAACAAACTGTGGCATATGAATGTAATCAAATAAGAAATGATGAATAGAAGGAATTCAGAAAGACAAAGCCCTGTTTAACTGAAGCTGCCAGAGGCAGTGTTTAAAGCACTAAAAGGAATCAGCACAACTACAGTATAGTCGGTCCTCTGTTATGGAATAATATGTAACCTTGTACAAATCACTTACAACTTTTTGTGCCTTAGTTTCCTCATCTGCAAAATAGGATAATCAGTGTGTTACTTTATCCAGGAAAGGACTCTGAACATAAAAAAAAAAGACAATAAAGTTTTGTTTAATTGAATGGAAGGTTAACACCACCAATTTCCTAGTTAAGGTACTATTGCTCATTGGGGAGAGGTATTTCATAAAACACAAGGTAGTATTTAAAATAGTAATGTTAAGAAAAAAATCCCTCAAATTGACGTTTGGTCATAATTTCAAGAATCCTACTACTTGTTGCCTCCCTCCAACCCCTCATTTTCCACCTCCCAAACCCCACAAAGCACCAGAGAATATTGACCTTCAGTTAGTGCTGGGCAAGTTTTTTTGTTTGTTTTTCCCCCTCAGAGAATGATCCTTTATATTACTGTTGGGGCAATGGAATCTACAATGACTCAGAGAAAAGAATGCACACACCCCACTGACTCATCCAGCAAGAACCTTCATTCAAGTGCTTAGTTGCTGAGATAAGAGAAGACTGTCCAGGGTAAAACGAAGACGGTTAATGAAATTTTAAGAAATAAAAATCCAAAAGTAAAGAATGAAAGAAACACATTAAAGAAAATGGAAACCTTGCACTTGTTATAATGCAAGTATAGCTTCCTAATTTTTATATTAGGAAGGTATACTGGGTCTAAGAAACAAATCAAGTAATTCTTCCAATCTGAGGCTCCTACGACACTATATCCTAGTAGAAGGAAAGTCTAGTTGCTAGACTGGGTGAAGACAAAGAAGAGAAACATGGCCACGCTTTTATTGCTAACCCTTGTCACCTAGAAAAAACGCTGCTAATGATATATCATGAGACTATTGTCTCAAAAAGCTCAGCTGCATTTTATCTGACTTATGGGGCAG